ATAAAGAAAAATTAAAAATTTTTTTTTGTTTGTTTTTTGTTTTTTGTTTTTCTCTGGTACCAGGAATTGAACTCACTACCTTGCGCTTGCCAGGCAGGTGCTGTGCCGCTGAGCTAAATCCCCAGCCCCTAAAAATTTTTTTAAAAAAAAGTTGACACAGAGCCGTGGTTGGGAAGGGAGGCTGCCAACCTTAGAGCTTCCCTGTGGGTAGAACAGTGAACACGACCAAGACCTCACTGTCCATGCAAGACACAGACCACTAATGAGCAAAAGCAATTTGATGGGACAGTGCTATGGGAAGGGAGGGTTCAGTACTGAGTTGTAGGGCAACATGAAGGACAAATTTTATCCAGACATGGGGTCACAGGAGGCTCTTTGCTAGAAGGAACATCTAAAGTGAGACCACAAAGCCGGGCATGGTGGCTCACACCTGTAATCCCAGCACTTGGGAGGCTGAGGCGGGAGGATCATTGTGAGTTCGAGACCAGTCTGGGCTACAAAGTGAGCTCAAGGCCAGCCTGAACTACATAGCGAGACCCTGTCTCTAAATAAATAAATAAATAAATAAATAAATAAATAAATAAATAAATAAATAAATAAATAAATAAAGTGAGACCACAAAGCGAGTAGGATTTAGCCAGGTGAAGGATGGATAGAGCAAGAATGTTCCAGCATAGGTACAATATGTGTAAGAGGGGAGGCAATTGGAGATATTGGTGCTTTGGGGCACTAAAAACTTCTCCATGAGAATGGTGTTAGGCTCATTTCAGATGTAGAAAGGAAACACAAAGATTTAATAGCTTTCCCACAGTTTCTCAGCTGGCTAAACCTGTACTTCAAGTCAGCTTCTGCATTGAGAGGTTGTTCTTTCCACTATTCCATCTTGTCCCATGAATGTCTCTAATCTTGGGTGTGTCCCCAGTATTACGGCACCCCAGTTGCAGAGAGATTGTGCAAAATTTGAAGAGGACTAAGGGTTGAACCTCAGGAGTGCCTACATTTAAGGAAGAGGAGGACAAGGAGGAAGAGAAGGAGGAGGAGCAGTAGCAATGAAAGGACTTACAGAAAGAACAACTCAAGACGTGAACTGCCCAGAGAGCAAAATAGGACAGAAGCCAAAGACTTCTTTGAGGTGTAAGAGTAGTTTAACATTTCAGATACATAGAAGACAAAAGAGTTTGGTTCTCACTGTAGATGATCAGTGATGATCTCAAAGTAGCCAAGGAGACAGGAATTTCCAGAAAAGACCTTGAAGGGTAGAGAAATCAGTGACGGGTGAGAAGGCAGAGTGCGTGCAGATTACTCTTTGGCAACTGTGATTTCAAGTTACTGGAAGAAGTAGCAAGGAAAGCCAACTCTGAGACAGCAGGACATTTGTTAGGACATGGTTTGGGGATCAGTACTGAGGGAAGGGAAGGAAGCAAAACTGGGCAGGAGAAGTGGAGTGCTGGTCTCATAAAGGTTCAACCAACCTTCAGATATATGTCCCTGTGGGGAGACACGGGTAAGTGTCCCACACAGATCAGGTGCTGGATATGGGCTGCTTGGGAAGTGGGGGTGACCTGATATCCTAGGGCCGTCTGCAGCACCATTCCTACCCCAAACAGGGAGGGTAAAGCATCCTTAATTCTTAAAGAGGATCTTTAGCCCTGCAATCCAGTGTTTATCAGTGGAATAGTTCTCAGTAAATAATACAGAATGAAGTGCTTTAGCAGAGTAAGAAATATCTGGGTAGCACACAACACAGCGTGGGTGTAACAAACTGTGCCTGGGACAGTGGTAAGGCAGTGATCACAGTGATGGGTATTTTAAGAGAGCCTTAAAGAAAAAGGAGTTCTCCAAGTAAAGAAGTGAAAGAGGAGTAGGAGGAGGAGGAGGAAGAGTTGTTTTATTTTTATTTATTTATTTATTTATTTATTTATTTATTTATTTATCTTTTTGAGACAGGGTCTAGCTCTGCAGTTCAGACTGGCCTTGAGCTCATTTTGTAGCCCAGGCTGGTCTTGAACTTTCAATGATCCTCCAGCCTCAGCCTCTTGAGTACTGGGATTACAGACATACGCCACCACGCCCAGCAGGCAGTTGTTTTGAGTCAAACAAAAACATGAAAAAAAATTAGAGAGTAGGTGGAAACAAAGCATGGAATGCCATACCTCTTTATAAATAAGATACTTAGGCTGGGGATATAGCTCAGTGGTAGAATGCTTGCTTAAATTAGCATGCATGAGGCCTGAGTTCAATCTCCATTACTAATAAAAACAAAAACAAAAAACAAAACCCAGGTGTAGTAGCACATGCCTGTAATCCCAGCATGCTGGGAGACTCAGTTAGGAGGATCATATATTGAACCTCAGCTTGGGCAATTTAGTTAGTGGTTTAGCGAGATCCTATTTCAAAATTTTATTTCATTTTTGAGTCAGAGTTTTACTATGGATTCTAGGCTACACTTGAACTCACTATGTAGCTCAGGCTGACCTTAACCTTGTGGCAATTCTCCTGCCTCAGCCTCTTGAGTGCTGGGATTATAAGTGTGCACCACCAATGTCTCAAATTTTTTTAAAAAAGGGCTGGGGGTGTGGCTCAGTGCAAAGGCCCTTGGCTCAATCCCTAGTACTGAAAAATAACTAACTAAATAAATAAATGACACATGATAAGCAGACATTAACATGACACCCATACACATTGACATCTGGACAGAAATGAGTTGCCATTACTGTCACGTGGAATGATTAGTGAGTTTACATTAATAGGATTTTATGCAAGACATAGTCTTTGAGGTAGAAGGCAGGGAATCGTTCTGAGTGTAGAAGAGAGAGGTGGTACTGTGTGGTAGTTGAGTACTGGCTCAACTGGATCTAACAGATTTGTGTTCACCATCTAGCTTTGCCGGCCAAAACGCTATGTGTCCTTAGGCAAAGTACTTAACTCCTCTAGCCTCTGATTCCTATTTTGAAAAACGAAGATAATAATAGTTCCTAAACCGGGTGTGGTGGCGCATGACTGTAATCCCAGCACTCGGGAGGCTGAGGCAGGAGGATCGTTGCAGGTTTGAGGCCAGCCTGGGCTACAAAGTGAGCTCAAGGCCAGCCTGAATTGCATAGCGAGACCCTGTCTCAAAAAGACAAAAAGAAAAAAAAAAAAAGTTCCTGCCTCATGAGTTGATTGTGAAGATTAACACATGTTTGTGATGTGTTAAACACAATGTTGGTGCATAATAAGAATTCGGTTACTATTGTCAGTTACTAGAGGTGAAAATCAGGGGCTACTGAGGTAAGAGTGGAGTGTGTATGTTGGGAGAAAACACCTGACTAAAGGAAACAATGGGGTTTGGTTTCATTTTAAAATCCATTCCTATTTTTATTTTTTCTTGAGTACTAGGGATCAAACCAGAGCCTCATACATGCGCAGTAGCATCCCTGCCACTGCACTACATCCCCAGTCCCATTCTTTTAGAATACATAAACTCAAGCCTTGGGCTGGGGATTTAGCTCAGCGGCAAAAGTGCCTGCCTGGCAAGCGCAAGGTCGTGAGTTCGGTTCCCGGTACCGGAGAAAAACAAAAACAAAAACAAAATAAAATAAAATAAAATAAAATAAACTCAAGCCTTTTCCCTGCAAAGCTGTAGTTCATGGATGATTTCACTACTTCTGTTCTCCCTTGAAGTGGAACTAATGTCCCCATCTCAGTCCTCAGAGGCAACTATGCCTTAGGAAACCTGTCCACTATAGAAAAAAGACAGGAGACAGACCGTGTTATAATGGTATGACTTTCAGTGTTTGAGTGAACCCGCGGGAAAAGAGACTGTCATCTGGGGTCTTGGACAGAACGCTCAACAATCCCTTCCTCTGTTATTTATGACGGTCACCTTCCACTGCTATCATGGTCGTTCCGAGTAGGAGCCAGAGCCACTTGCCTGGACACCTACTTTCACTAATTTGAATTTATTATTTCTTTTCTTTCTTTTTCATTCTATGATACTGTGTTTTGACAGGACTGAGGTTTCTTTAAAACTATCAGAAAACTTTGCTACCTGTGAAGCAGCCAAGGTCTTCTCTCTACGCCACCCCACTCCAAAGCATCTTTCTAGCTTTGTCTTGTAAGTCATTTCCCTGAGGCAAATTTTCCCCATTCTTTAGGCTTCCCTCAAAAATTCTTGGTTTGCCCTGGATTTCTTTTTTGCAGTGTCAGGGTATTTTCCTTGCTCTTTTCCATCAGGCGTCCACCCCTAGGTTTGCTGGCTTTGTTTTCCGCCCGCAGATCACTGATTGACCAGGCTGATGCCAGCGGCTCCTTCAGATAGCAAGGGAAAGCCGAGGCGGCATTTTCGCCTTCACTTTGAGACTCCTTTTAATTGCATCAGTACTGCACGTACTATGTGGAAAATCCATGCCGATGGTCAGCCATTGGGTTAATTAGTTTCACCTCTTGTCTCAGAGGAGCAGAGTCCTAGTGCACAAGCAGCCCTGGTACAAGTACCTGAGCTGGCTTCTCTCCAAGGGAGTGGCATCCTGAAGGAATTTCCTCTTACTCCGCCCCTTTCACCCACCAGCACCCCCAGCTCCAGTTCCTGCCAAATGCACAGAAGTGAAATCTTAGAATAAAAGGTGTTTTTTGTTTGTTTGTTTGCTTGTTTGTTTTGTCTTTTTGAGACAGGGTCTCACTATGCAGTTCAGGCTGTCCTTGAGCTCACTTTGTAGCCCAGGCTGGTCTTGAACTAGCAACAATCCTCCTGCCTCAGCCTCCCGAGTGCTGGGATTACAGGCGTGCTCCACCACGCCCGGCTTAGAATAAAAGTTTTAACTCAATTAATTGTTAATATCTAGGAGTGGTAGGTACAGAATGCCTCCCTTTTCTTGGCAGGTCAAAGATGAAATTTGATTATACTTTGGAGGGTGTGGTCTGCCTCTTGAAACTCCCCACCAGTCTTTACCAATGAATGCCGCATTACCTAGAGCAGCCTCAAGTGTCCCCATTAACCGTGGGAGGTGCACCTGCATAAATAGAGGGAAGGCGGCCCTGAGAAAAGTCAGACCTGTTCTGCACCATGAAGAAGAAGCAGCGTAATACGGAGGCAGCTCCACACTGTGAACTAAGTAGGTAGCCGCACGCACGGAGCATCGCGGGGAGGATGACAAGAACAGCTCCAGCCTTTTTCTCTTCCAGATGCAGCAGAGGTTCCCAGGGCCAGGCGCTGGTTTGGAGGGACCTTGTCAAGCCTTCCTAAGACTCCAGATTTGCTGTAGAGTGATTCTCAAAAGTAATCTGTGCATTTTCTTTCTCCTCCAGGAGACATTCCGTGTAGGAGCCAGCCTGAGCGTGGAAGTGGATGACGCTTGGCCCGGTTTTGTTTTTGTTCGCTTGGTTTTGGCCCCTGAGTCTTTTTGCTTTGCACTCTGGGAATATTTCTTTTGGGGGTTCTCTCTCCTTTTTCTCTCATCTTGGACTCTTTTGATAACTTAATAAGATTTTCTCCTAGCATTTTGTTTTTTCATGAAAGAGGTTGGTTATCTTTACTGCTGAAACCGGTAGGGGAGTCTAAGATTATTTTTAGTAGATATTAAAGACACTGTAGAAAGTTAGGGTGATTTCTTAGGCCATTTATTCTCGCCTGTTCCCCAGTCATCGACAGTGAAGGTGGTGAGGCTGAGGGGTGAGGCTCGCTGCGCGCCTTGGAGTGGAACACCTGATGCAGTCGGACTGGCTGCCCTGGCCGATGTCTCGCGGTTCCTCTTCGGCATAGGGCGATATTGGTGCAGCGACAGATGCCGTGATGTGGCTCTAGGAGGGAAAGGAAATGGTGCTGTCGGGTGGCCATACTTTATTACAGCGTGGGGCTGTACCTGGTAGAGTCACGTCTCCAGAAGAAAGGGGTTTGATTGTCAGTAACTAACAGGAAGCGGCGAGCGAAGTACGGCAGGAATATTGTCTCCAGGTCGCTCGCGCAACACGACTTCTCGAGTTCCAGCGCCTTTTGGATCTGCGAGATCCCTCGCCGCTCCAGTCCCCGCGGTCCCGCCCCCGCCCCGCCCGCTCCGGGATGGGCGGGGCCTCGGTTCTAGCTGGGCTGCCACGCGCCCTGATAACTGCAGTGAGCCTGCCAATAAGGATGTACGGCCCCTGTCCTGTCGGCCAATCACTGGAGGGAAGGGGCCGGGCTCGCTGGCGCCGGCTCCCGGGTTATGGAGTCCCAGACGCCTGGACTGCGTGTCAGGTGGTTCCGGAGTCGGTGAGGCCGGGGACTGGCGAGGTCAGCGGCCAGGGTGCTGGGCTCGCGGCGGGCGAGAGGGGCGCCGGGCGGCTCGGGCAGGCTCGGGGCCGGA